CCTTAGGTGTGGTCCAAAAGGCACTTCATACCTGCAACAAGAGGTACATCAGTAAGGTGGTTCTCATCAGTAAGGAAATTTCAAGAGTTTTAGGAGTTCTATGCCAGAAACAGGGACTTTAAATTTCTTATTATAAATCATAATATCACAGAATCCTTTAAAAATTCAGATACCCAAGTTCTGTCCCAGATCTGTGAACCAAAATATCTGGTAAGTGGAGGCCCGAGAATCTGAATTGTAAAATATCTCTTCTTAGATTCTGATGCACAACCCATCTGGGGAAACCACTGCTCTAGAGAACCAGTAAGAGGCCATATTGCTTTGTTTAATGTAAGGAGATATGTTTCTTGTTCTACAGTAGTTATTGAAAGTTTCATTTCGATTGATTGCTCAAAACATGTCCATTAAGGTCCAACATCTGTTTAATAGATATATCCCATTACACTCTTGTACTTAGGGCCACAGTCAAGACCTGACATAATCGGAGACATGGTTTAAACAAACTAATTACATAAGGGAACCCAGGGGCTGTGCTGAGCAGGGGTCATTGAACATGACATATGCCTTAAATCAAAACCAGGCATCGGGGGAAAGTAAGATATCCCAAGCTGGAATTACGCAGCTTGGGGATTCTATAGCAGGTATTCCTAGGGCCAGCCTGGTGTGGGGACTCTGTGAACAACATTGCTGCCACCACCACCTCCCACTGCCTCAACATTTGACATTGCTGAAACCAGGCTGGACACAGATTAAGGAGACATCTGGCAAATAAAGAGACTCTCACACCTTTTTGCCGGGGTGTTCTGAAGCATGGTATTGCTGAAAAGAAATCTCTGAGGTGGCTGAATGATCAGTTCTGGCCCTTCATGAAGTGGTAGTCGCTTAGGTATTTGCTTCCATTTTTCCCTACCTCACTCTCACAGCCTTGGGATTTGCACCTTCCAGTAAGACATTAGCACTTTGTCTCAGATTCTGTTCTAGGGCATCCAGACTAAGACATTAATTGCTAGGCACTTTTCTGTGCACTTTATATACACTATACTTTCTTTAATCCCTGACCATCCATCTAACAGAGTATCAATATGCCTTTTTATAGAAAAGAAAACTGAGGATAACACAGTTAACTTGTCCAAGGCAATTCACCCAATATGTGGCAGGGACAAGATTAAAACATACACTCTTGCACTTCAATGTTTATGTTCCTAAAAACTATAACATGATTCCATCCTCCAACTGGTGATGGGGCTTTCTGCAATCAGTTAAATATGGTGAAACTTGTTGGTAAGCTTCTCCCAGCATGCTTACATAAACTAAAGCACAACGACTCGGATCAGCCTCATTAGGTTGGACTATAAAGATATTTTCTGCTCCATACACTGTGAACATTTTAACCAGGACTGCCCTCACCAGGTAGGCTTTCTCAATGGCTCAGCAGGTAAAAGAATCCACCTGCAATGCAGGAAACGCAGGAGACAGGGGTTTGATTCCTGGGTTGGGAAAATCCCCTGGAGGATGAAAGGGCAACCTGTTCCAGCATTCTTGCCTGAAAAATCCTGTGGACAGAGGAGCCTGGTGGGCTACAGTCGCAGAGTCAGATGTGGCTGAATACACAGAGCACAGTTACACGAGGCACATACTCACTTTCACATCTGCCTGCCCTATACCGAAGCTGAGAGCTTCCGATGGAAAAAAAATGTTATTTATCCTTGTCTCCACGGAGTCCATCTTTGTGTCTATGTATTAGTCGCTCAGTCATGTCTGACTCTGCAACCCAATGGACTGTAGCCTGCCAGGCTCCTCTGTCCATGGAATTCTCCAGACAAGAATGCTGGAGTTGGTTGGGGTTGCCATTCCCTTCTCCAGGGGTTCTTCCTGGCCTAAGGGATCGAACCCACATGTCTTATGTCTTCGGCATTGGCCACTTAGTTGCTCAGTCATGTTTGACTCTTTGTGTCTCCATAGACTGTAGCTCGCCAGGCTCCTCGGTCCATAGGATTCTCCAGGCAAGAATACTGGAGTGGGTTGCCAATCCCTTCTCAAGGGGATCTTCCTGACCCAGGGATTAAACCCAGGTCTCCTGCATTGTAGGCAGATTCTTTACTGTCTGAGCCACTAGGTAAGCCCTGGAAGGTGGATTCTTTACCACTAGCACCATCTGGGTGGCAAATGCTTAAGTAATAAACTGAACAATGAATTAACATATGTTAGAAGAGGTACTTTCACTTTGTTTATGCCTGCAACATAATAATTATTTGAAAGTGAGTTAACCACAAAATGAGTTTAAAAAGAAACTGCATAGAGTTTAACTTAACCTACACCTTAAACACTTGACCTGAACCTACAGTCCTTCCTTAACTAGCAAGAGCTACATTCCCCAGCCAATTGAGGCACAGGTGTACATGACATCCTGGTTTGCCGGGCCTCTTCTTATATCCTCTTCCAGAACCGTTGATGTCACTTATCAAGATCTTTACCAAAACTCTACCAGGATCCAAGTCAGTTTCAAATGTCTGTGATGTTTTGCAGGGTAAATGACTTTGAAATAGAGCAAAACCTCAAATGTTCATCCACAACTCAAACATCCCTTAGTGTAAAAGTGTGTCCTGTATATTGACATTCAAAGTGATGTTTGGCTACAGCCAATCTAGGTTTCACTCCCACCGCGTGCTGCCTTCACTTCCTCTTTGGTCCTCAAGTTAGTTCTTCCAGGATGAACTCTCCCTCAACTGGTCATCTGGTCCCACACTGTCTCCTACTACTTGCTGGTGAATACCTACCTTCTGTAAGGCTTTTTCTCTTTACTATTTTCTCTCCCATTTCTGCTCTCATCAGATGCTATGGCTCTTATCTAGAATGAACCATTCCTTTTTGGACACCCCCTGCCCACCATAAATTCTTCTAAAAGATGAACAACTCAACCTTGATTTCCTCTTGTAACATATTATTTTCACCAGACTGGAAATCACATTTCTAACTCACCTGCGAGAGAAAGACCCTTGTATAGGGGTGAGCAGGAGATACGGTTTCAATGGGGCAGAGCCCTGAGCAAAGAAAGGAGTCCAACATAGAGGCTGTGACTCACACAGACGCTTTGTAGCTGAGGAGTTGTGCCTTTTTTGGTTTGAAATATTTCCATCATATTCAATAAAATGGATTGCAGAAATTTTTTTAAAAGTATCTCTGTACACACTAAGGCTTGGTGTCTGATTCCAAAGGATGCTTCAGTATTTTCATTTTTGTTTTGTTTTGTTGGTTTTGGTTTTACTCTTCATTCAGTTACATATACTAATCCAGCAAGTATACCTGTTAATTGTTATACACACTTGGAATGCTTCTGGGTTTTACAAGATTTGCATTGGAGGAAAATTAAGGAAAATCAAGCAGTGATTCTTGACCCCTCCTTCCCATCCAGCCACACAGTAGAAGCACTGGGATCCCAGCCTCAAAGCTCCTTCTCTTCTCTTAAGTGACTCGGGCTTCCCCACATTCAGTGGTAGGATTCTCTTCTCATTTATCTATGATATGATGACAGACTGATTAATTTTTTAAGAAAACACCAGACAGTATAATGCAATAAAAGGTCTGGGAAAGGAGAGGAAGTCCTAGTACAAGTGTTCATGTCCAGAGCTCCATCTACCAATCAAGATTGTTGGAAGAGCAGTTTGAAGGAGGAAATGCAGAGTGTGATACTGCAAAAATCTGCAACTTCTCTGAAACTGACTTTCACCACCTGTGAAATGGAAACAATAATAATAACAATAACACACTTTCCTTCTAGTGCTTCACAAGTCAGTTTTAAGGGAAAAAAAAATAAGATAACATGTGTCAAGTGCTTGATAAACTGCAAAAGTTCTAAGCAGTTGTAAGTTATTACATCACACCCAGAGTTCAGAAAGACAATTAGGCACCCACATTATACCACAGATTCAACTGTGATTAATGCATTCACTTTGGGAACTCTAGGAATTAATAACCATTTGCCATACATTCATTATGATCACATTAATCATTATAATTGATTGGTTAATTAGCTAATTATGGTTATAATGTAGATGTCATATGCATTTCCATAGGAATTCTTTGGTAATTCAACATTAATTAATGCCTGACCTTATCTTGATGCTAAACAGATCATGGGAATGACCTTCTAGCATCTGATTTGGTCCAAAGGGGACTTCACAGAAGAATACAATGAAGCAGGCATCGCGATTTTCTGAACACTGGGTTTTAGTTGAAGAGTAGAAAGAATTTTTGAAAAAGTAAAAAGCTTAGAATTTTTTTCTTTTTTAACTGGTACTTTCAAATTTTTTCATTTTCTCTTTGTACAAACCCCATGCAGGAAATAGTGGTTCATTACTATTGTCCTAGATCCTCAAAGCAAGATTTTTCTCAAAATGGGAAGGAGAGTATCTGAGAGAGAAAAGAGAAGCAGTTACTAAAAGCTAACTACCTGTCCACTGCTTTGCTGGTGACCACAGAAACATGAGAGTCCCTATTCTCTGTCCCCAGGAATCTCACCATTTTCTAGGAGTCTCAAGTTTGTACAAGAAACATAGAAAAATCAGGGATGTTTGAGGGGAAATTTTATTATGTTTATCACTTGTTGTAATAGTTTACAAATTTGGGAATAATGGTAAGGTGTTTAAGGGAAATCAGAAATAATGCTTGAATGAGGCAGGAAAAGTCAAGTATTTACTATGGTGAATTGGCAAAAATTACTATATTTTGAAAACCCTCAAAATTTGGAAGTTAGCTAAATCTAAATTAATTGAAAGCTGGCAAGTATGGCAAATCAAGTAATTACACATATTTTCTGTTAACTCATTGACTGCTGTTTTATATTTCTAGGGTATGTATTGTCCTAAAAGTGAAATATCTTTAAAAAAAATACAAAGTGGAAACATTGATATTCTGGGTTTCCTAGATGATTAAACCACCTTAGTCACCACTGAAATTTAAGACATGTAACATTTGGAACACATTACAAAATCCATGAAATGTGATGTCATACAAGATTAACATCTGAGATTCCAACTGCTACTATCACGAAAGTAAGTTTTTTAAAAATTATTTGAATGTATCCATTAGCAGAAAATACTCATTTCCTCCTAAGACAAAAAGTTCAAATATAATTACATTTAATGCATTAATAGAAGAATTCGGTGATTTTTACTGTGATCAAGGAATTTGAGCCAAAATTGTGGGGGTTCTTTTTCCCTAAAGAAAAGGTGAAATAAAGCTCTAATAATACATTTGGAATAGTCCCAGTTAAATTAAGAACTTGTAAGTAGAGTCATTTAAGGTGATAAAAGGGCACACATAGAATTAATCAGCTGATGGAAGCCGACCATGTTTAAGTTACTGCCTTGAGAAGGGATTGGCACTGGCTCAGGTTCTTAGAAAAGTAGGTGCTAAGACAGGATCTAAAATACAAGAGATGCATTGGAAGTAAAAGTAGACTGAGCTAGAGAAGGTAGAAAGAGCCTTCAGACCATGATGCAGATCTGATATCTGCAAAGGACTGTAAGAAGGAAGAAGGGCTAAGCAGTAAAGATTTCAGACTTCTGAGCAGTTTCAAGAAAATTCTCAAGTCAGTTAGGACTGGGATAAGAGTCCACCCCAATACCTCCTCCATTGTGAAGCCAGTTTCTTGATCCCTAAGCACCTGTGAGCGGTACTGGCTGAAGATCTGTGGGAAGAAAAGGTAAACTCAGACTCAGAATAGGTGTCCATCTCTGCCAGGAGATGGCAGAGATCTGCTGGCTCTTCTGGGAAGGAAGGAGCCACATGAAACCAGTTTGCTAACAAACGACCATTTGGTCTCCTCAAAAAATAGCACCTCAGTGTCAGTTGTCGTTGCTGGGAAAGTTGTACATATGGGGGCAGCGGCAGCTAGACTGGCTTGAGTAAGCGGAAGCTCACACTACTGAGGCCACAGTAAACTCCCATCTGTCGCCACGGTTACTGTGTCCACACGCTCAGCTCTGGGGTGGCCAGTAATGAGAGCTGTTTAATGTCACCAGGCTGAGTCATTTTTGTCTACTTGGTTGTTCCAGGGCTTCTTACACAGCTAATGCTTTTCTGTTTGGGACTGAGGTGTGATACAAAAATCCTTAGGCTTTCTGCCCACTCTCCCATGTCCATCCACATGCCTCTACCTAAGACTTCCTTGGCTTAGACTGTCTAGGCCATTTCCTTCCAGGTCCCTGACCATATGGCCAAGTCATTCACCACTGCCTCAGAGTCTAGATACACTCTCACCTCGGGCTACTTAGCTTTCCACACAAAGCTGATGATTGGGTGACTGGATTATAGGCTGAACTGTGTTCTTCCAAAATCCACATGTCCTGACTCCTGGTATTTCATAATATAACCGTATTTGGAGGTAAGGTTTTTAAAGTGATAATTAAGTTAAAATGGGGTTTTTATGGCCTTAACCCAATCTGACTGGTGCCCTTTTTTGTTTGGCTGGTTTTTTAATTTCTACAGTGTTGTGTTAGCTTCTGCCACACAACATCACGACTCAGCCATAATTATACAAACTCCCCCTTCCTCCTGAGCCTCCCTCCCCTTCCCCCATCCCATCCCCCAGGTCATCACAGAGCTAGGATGCTAGGACGCACTGGGGTCCGTATGCTACACAGCAACTTCTCACCAGCTGTCTATCTAACATACAACATGGTGTCCGTAGTTGAAAATATTGTACTGTATCACCAAAATTTGCTAAGAGAGTAGAACTTAAGTGTTCTCACTGAAAACAAAACAAAAAAGGGAAACACGTGAGGTGATGGATGCACTAATTAACTGGGTAGTGGGAATCCTTTCATCATGTATCCATGTATCACATCATCACATTGGACATTCTCTGCATACGAATGAGGTCCATTCCAAGAGTGTGTTCCTAAGTCCAGTTTGTTTGTAAGTCCAAAAAAGTTAGCCTAGGTTCCCAACTAACGCAGTCAGTTACATAGCGCATAGTTGCTACATCACGTCCGACTCTTTGTGACCCTTTGGACTATAGCCTGCTGGGCTCCTCTGTCCGTGGGATTTTTCAGGCAAGAATACTGGACTGGGTTGCTATTTTCCTCCTCCAAGGGATCTTCCCAACCCAGAGATCGAACCCACAGTCTCCTGCGCCTCCTGCATTGCAGGCAGATTCTTTACCCCTTGAGCCATCGGGAAGCCCCAGCTATATAGTACTGTACTGTAATAGGTTTATAATACTTTTCACACAAATAATACATTTTAAAAAACCAAACATAAAATAAAGAAAACATTTTAAATCTCACAGTACAGAATCTTGCAAAGTACAGTGGTACAGTACCACAGCTGGTACCAGGGGCCGCCACTGAGTGAACAGTCAAGAAGAGTTACTGTTCTTGGCTAGAGGAGGGAGAGGAGGTGGGAGACGGCAGAGCTGAAGGATCGTCAACAATAGGAGATGAAGGGCAAGCTGCAGTTTCACTCACCCCTGACGGTGATGACATGCACGTTTGCATCTTTGAAAGTTTGCAACTTGAAGATTCATATGTAGGGGCTTATTGTATTATAACTTTATTTTGGAGAAGGAAATGGCAACCCACTCCAGTACACTTGCCTGGAAAATCCCATGGACGGAGGAGCCTGGTAGGCTACAGTCCATGGGGTCACAAAGAGTCGGACACGACTGAGCGACTTCACTTTCACTTCACTTTCAAAGCAGGAAAAAAAAAGTCAATCATTAAAAGAGCACTTGCAGGAATGAACCTGCCTTGGCACCCCCTACTGCAGTGACTCACTGGTGTCTCGTGGGAAGCCTGGCCAAGGTGCCACTCTTGGGGCAGATCCAGAAATGCCCCAGCTGGAAGTCATCAGTCAACGGCATCCCCCACACAGCATTTTCATGGCCACCACGGGGCAACAAAAAGGTAAAAACAAGGTGCCACATTAGTGCCTCCTACTCCTCGGAGGACACAAATGTTACTGTTATCCAAGTGGCCTTATCAGGAAGTCTTGGAAAGTTTTAGGACTAAGTCATGAGTCTTGTGAGAGAGTTAAGGCACAGGGAAAAACAGGATGACTTCTCCAAAGCACCCTTCCTTTGTTCTTCCATCAGCTGGGATCAGCTGTTTGGCAGGAGAAGAGAAATAGAGAGAGAAATGAATGAGAATGAATCATTGAACACACTCCCACCTCAGGGAAACATTTTATTGGATTTGTTTCTCTTTGATGCCAATTAAGCCCATGGGGTAGAACAGGTCAGTGAGTGAACATGTGGGCTGGGGGAGTGGATACAGGATCTGACTATAGTTACTGTGCCGTGGTTATAATTTATTATTAACTCTCTCTTCTGTGCCATGGTCTGTTGGGCCGTTCCAGGGGTCCAGTTCCTGGGGCCAGGACCGTGGCTCATCCAGGCAGATCAGACGGAACATTTTATTTACTTGCTTCTCTCCTTAAATCTAGGATGACTCAACCTGGCCCAAGGCAGAAAAAGTTTTCTTGACCTTGGATGAAACAGTGAGCTTTGGGAGAACTCAGAGTTAGACAACCAGCTACCCTGCTTCACTTATCATTTGACAAATTAGAAAGATCTTGGTGGAAGAAATTCATAACTTTGATTCCATCGCCTTGTCCTAAGAACCTAAATAAACATTTTTTTTAAATGTTCATTTATCATGTTCCAGATGTAGTGTTACTCTCCCTGAGTTCATTCATTCACTCAACAAATATTTACTGAGGGTTGCTAGTGGTCTAGCCCTATGCATATCAAGTGTGAAATATACAACCTTGAACAAAATAGACAGGATCCCTCATTGGGTGATGGTGAAATATGGAGTACAGAATATCAGCTATATCAAAATATCATAATTTCAGATGGTGCTCACCTCTATGAGGTAAATGAAGGAAAAGAAGTGAGTGACCTATGTTATAAAATGTAATCTCCTCAAATCATCACAGTAGACAGGGGCTAATATTCCTATGTTATCTCTGAGAGAAAGGATGTTCAGAGGGGTTATTTAACCTACGGAAGTTCCAACAGAACAGACAGGAATGGGAATTTGAATACAGACCAATATTTGAGTTAATATACCAACCTCACTTAGGCCAGAAGAGTTTAAAATCTCAGGTCAGCTTTCAATTACAGAAACAGTCCCCTCTCCCTGGTCTTTCTTTTTTTAAAAAAAGTATGTATTTATTTCTAGCTGCACTGGGTCTTCATTGCTGTGTGTGGGCTTTCTCTAGTTGCAGCAAGTGAGGGCTCCTTTCTAGTTGCCGTGCATGGATTTTCTCATTGCAATGAATTCTCTTGCTGTGGAGCATGGGTTTTGGAGCCCACAGGCTTCAGTAGTTATGGCCACTGTTTCCCTGAAGTTTAGATTAGTTTCCCTGAAGCATGTGAAATCTTCCCGCACCAGGGATCAAACTGGTGTCCTCTGCATTGCAAGATAGATTCTTAACCACCGGACCACCAGAGAAACCCCTCCCTAGTCTTTCTTTTGCACGATATGTTCCAGCTAGATGGCATTCTTACAATTTCTGAAAGAGTGCCAGCATCCTCTTCCTCCAGTCCACAGGCTGACCAAGAGCTTTCCCAGGCTTGGGATACTCCCCCATGTCACTCTGGGTGATGGATTTACATGGCACTCGGCCACATCTTTGAGCAACACTGACTCACATAGAAAGTACTTCTTCTTTCATCTGTTTTTCTCTCCTTCTGATGTTATTGAGAAGACAGTTTAGTACTAGACAAACATTTTTGACCACTTGCTGAATCCCTCCTCTAAAAAAAAAAAAAAAGACTTACTGAGGCACAATTGGCATATAATTATCAGAAATTTTTTAAATGTGTTTGCTCCTTTTAACATCTGTGTGAGTTCTGGCTGAGTTTCAATGTCTTTCTCCTCATCATGGATCATAATTTGTTACTTCTTTGTATGCCCAGTAATCTCCAATTGGATGCAAGACATTGTCCATTTTACTTTGTTACGACTGGAGATTTTTATATTCCTAAAAATATTAGATTGTTCCTGGTTATAGGTAAGTTATTTGGAAGCAGTTTAATTTTCTGGGATCTTGTTTCGAAAATGGGTTAGGTAAGATCAGAGAGGGCTTGTCAGGTGGTATGAGAAGGAAAGAACCCTCCTGTCAATGCAGGAGACAGACGCGGGTTCAATCCGTGGGTTGGAAAGATCCTTTAGAAGAGGGCACAGCAACCCACTCCAGTATTCTTGCCTGGAGAATCCCATGGACAGTGGAGCCTGGCTGGCTACCGTCCATGGGGTCACAAAGAGTTGGACATTCCCGAAGCGAGTTGGACATGACTCAGCACGCATGCAAGCACAAGATCAGAGGTGTACTGATCGCCCACTTCTGTCACAGAAGCCATCTGTGTGTTTACCCCCTTGCTCCACGAGTCACGAGGTCTCCAGTCTGATGGGAGTAGGCAGTCCTCACACAGGTCACTCTTAACTTGAATCCCTTCTTCATCTAAGTGTAGTGATCACTACTCAGTTGGATGTTTGGCGGGTGAGGGGGGTGCCTCTGCAGATACCTGGGGTTCCCTCTGTGCAGCTGTCAACCCCCTAGCCCCCCAGTACACTGTTCTGTGAATTCTCACTGCCTTCATATCCCTGGACTCTCAGCTCTGTCTTCTCAGCTATCAGGCTCCACCTGGGCTTCTCCTCCCTACGCTGCAATCTGCTGATTTTTATATTCCTATAAATATTCTTTAGCTTTGTTCTAGAAGGAAGTTAAATTACTTGGAAACAGTATGGTCCTTGGAGGTCTTGTTTCTAAGATTTGTTAGGTGGGATCAGAGCAGTTCTCACTGGCAGGCAGATTATTCCCTAAACAGGAAGCTGGGGCAGTCTCAGAGTTCACCTCATTCTGCCTCTTGCCCAGGTCTTGAAAAATATTACTGCATATATTTTATCTTTTTGTTGTTGTTGTTGTTTTAATAGAAAGCAAAAACATAACCCTCATACTCCATCTTGGTGTGAAGAATCCTCATTTCTTTTTTTTTTTTAAGCAAAGATAAAGTAGACCCGAAAGCTTAGGCAAAAATACAGGGTTAAAATTGAGTAACTTTGTCTTCTTTGCTTTATATTTCTTTTATGGTTAATTTATTTATAACACTCTATCCTGATTTTCCATTAATGGAACATTAAAACGTTAAAAAGTTCCAGAGTTAGGGACTTCCTTGGTGGTCCAGGGGTTAAGACTCCACACTTCCAATGCGAGGGACCTGGGTCTGATTCCTGGTCTGGGAACTAAGATCCTACACACCATGGCCAAAAAAAAGTTTAAAAAGCTCCAGAGTTAAATGGATTTGTTCATGTTTAAAAGTAAATTAATTAAATCCATTTAAAGAAAATAATAAAGAAACAGCTGGGCAAGAAATCAGAACATTCCTCACTAGGGGAGTAAAGAGGTAACTCAGGCTCAGGGAGGGCAGATCTTGATGGCTCCAGACTTTCAACTTGACTCCATCCTAGCCTCCTTCACTCTCCTTGTGCTGAATTCCCCTTCCTGGCTTTGAGCTCCTCACCTTACCACCTACACCCACCCTGTGCTAATCTTTCTGAGAGCAAATGTCACACTCTAGTGATATCTTCACCTCCTGCGTCAGCCCCCGTTGTTTTGCTCTAAATCTGTGCCACCCAGTCCAAGAGCCACGAGTCACATGTAGACCCTGAGCACTGGACACTTGGCCAGTCTCACTACGATTGTCAGTGAGGAATACACACTGGGTTTAGAAGACCGAACAAAAAGAATTTAGACTATCTCATGAAAGACGTTCATACTCAGTACATGAAATAGAATGCTTAGGATAGTTCTGCTCAGTCATGTCTGACTCTTTGTGACCCCATGGACTGCAGCACGCCAGGCTTCCCTGTCCATCACCAACTCCTAGAGCTTACTCAGACTCATATCCATTGAGGTGGCGATGCCATCCAACATCTCATCCTCTGTCATCCCCTTCCCCTCCCACCTTCAATCTTTCCCAGAATCAGGGTCTTTTCCAATCAGTCATTTCTTCACATCAAGTGGCCAAAGTATTGGAGTTTCATTTTCAGCATCAGTCCTTCCAATGAATATTCAGGACTGATTTCCTTTAGGATGGACTGGTTGGATCTCCTTGCTGTCCAAAGGACTTTCAAGAGTCTTCTCCAACATCACAGTTCAAAAGCATCAATTCTTCAGTGCTCAGTTTTCTTTATAGTCCAACTCTCATATCCATATGTGACTATTGGAAAAACCATAGCTTTGACCAGACAGACCTTTGTCTTCTAAGAAATGTCTCTGCTTTTTAATTTGCTGTCTAGGTCGGTCATAGCTTTTCTTCCAAGTAGCAAGCGTCTTTTAATTTCATGGCTGCAGTCACCATCTGCAGTGATTTTGGAGCCCAGGAAAATAGATTAGAATGAGTTGAGTTCAGTTCAGTTCAGTCACTCAGTCATGTCCAACTCTTTGCAACCCCATGGACTGCGGCATGCCAGGCCTCCCTGTCCATCACCAACTCCCAGAGTTTGCTTAAAATCATGTCTGGGCTAAAGAAAATAATTATGAAAATTAATTCCACCTTTTGCTTACCTTTTTTATAATATGACTCCTAGAAGTTTTGACATCATATATGTGGATAGCATTTCATTTCTTTCAGACGGCACTGTTCTAGCCGCATCATCCATGGACACCTCCCAACTGTCAGCGGTTCCCCTGTGGCTTCCCTTGAGACTTCCCTGGTGTCTCAGCTGGTAAAGAATCTGCCTGCAATGTGGGAGACCTGGGTTCAATCCCTGGGTTGGGAAGATCTCCTGGAGAAGGAAAAGGCTACCCACTCCAGTATTCTGGCCTGGAGAATTCCATGTACTGTATGGTCCATGGGGTCACTAAGAGTCAGACACGACTGAGCGACTTTCACTTTCACAAATGTCAGCACAACATCTGACCGAGAAGAGAAACTTACCAAGCAGGTGTCAGATGCTAGTAAGTGAATGAAAAAGTAAATGAGTGGCTTTAACTGGATTGAAGTTCAAAAGGGGAATATCGGAGCCTAGAGATAGCCATAATTTCCTCATCCTTGTAATGGGAATAATAATTTATGCCTCATAGAGATACTGAAGATAAACTGAGGTTGTTTATCTCAGTGGAGAAATCTTAACACTGAACCTGGGGCAACGGGCAGGTCAAGAGAAGTTAGACCTTATAGGGAAAACATCTCTGCTTCAACTCACGCCGTGTGAAGAACCTTAGCAGCTGTGTACAAAGAAAGATGAGAAGGAGATTCTTTTTGGTGAGTTTTCTCTTGCATGTTATACAAATGTGCTTTATATGCTTCTCCAGGCTCTTGTATAAGAGCCCAGCTTTGTGGCTTATAAACATTTGCCTCTGGCCCAGCCCCCACTACTCACTGGTGTCCTGATAACCGGTTCTTTATAAGCCATGGTGTGTGTGTGTGTGTGTGTGTGTGTGTGTATGTGTGTGTGTGTGAGTAAAACACTTTCTCCCAGGTCTTATCTTATTGCTAAAAATAATGTACTTGTAAATTGCTTTATAAATTATTTATCATGAGGGGCTTCATCATGGAACGAGTGCTACAATGTACTGTGAAATGGGGGGCAGGGAGGACCGGCAAGGAAGGAGGGAGAGAAGGAGGCATTGGAATCACTTATAAATAATATATTCATTGGTCAAAGAAAGTTCTCGCCTTTTATGAAGTGTTTGGATTCTGTCTTGCATACTAAGTGAGCATTCTCTTGCAGACTCCTTGGTGGTCCACCCCAGCCTCCTTGCTGCTCTATCCCTGAATCTGGTGATTAGGATGCTGTGTATTTATCTCAGCCAAAACCACAATTGCCACGTCTCATCACCTGGAAATAAACAGCAAACGGGGCTGACTGTTACTGCTGAGGAAACGCAAAGATGTGTTGGCAACTCCTGGGAACTGAGTCTGAGTTGCTGAGTTGGGCTCTGCATTTGGTATTCATCACGTAAGTGCTGAGCCTAATGAAGGCATTTGGTATTCATGTGGATGTCACATGTATTTCCAGAGACGCTGGGCTCTAATTTAGCATGGGTTAATGGACACCTCTATTAAAGTGTTATCGAAAGTTTGACATTCAAATAACCCAGTTTGAAAATCAGACAAACCTAGACATTAAATCTGAAGGGGAGAAAATGTAGGAGAAGTCAAGTATATAAATGCCAACTTTAGACAGAAACATTAATCTGCCGTGGAGAGGGACGATGGGTTGGTCCAAGTGCTTCTTGCCCTTTTGCTTTGCCTGGCTCCTCCCATACCTAAGTTTTGGCATCTTCCCTGACTGCCTTTGCCAACATTTCTGTGATAAGTAAAAAAGAGGGGACAGAAGAAAGGGCAGAGTTATATTAAATAAAAGGTGCCACTCACCTCCTAAAATTTCCCACCATATCCTTGGCTCTTGTGTTCTAATCTTTTCAGTAACTGTCTAAGGCACGTTTTATTATTCCCAAATAGAATGAAATTGAAAACCCACAGAACATAACTGATTCTCGAAGGGTCACATTTAGCTAGTAAAATAATAGGAAAAGGTTAGAACAGTCACTATACTAATATTTATGTTCTCTTTTCATTAGTTTCACAAATATTTATTAGACACTAATTTGGTGCCAGACTCACTAGCTGGTTGATGTTAGTGAATAAAATAAACTCTTGTACAATGACTTTGGGAATGTTTTACTTTTTATTTTATTCATTTATTGATTTTTGGTTGTACTGTGTCTTCATTGTTGTGTGAGGGCGTTCTCCAGTTTGGCAAGCGGGGCCTACTCTCCAGTTACAATGCACAGGCTTCTCATTGCAGTGGGTTCTCTTGCTGGGGCACTCAGGCTTCAGTAGTTGTGGTCTGCAGGCTTAGTTGCCTCACAGCATGTGGGTTCTTCCTGGACCAGGGATTGAACCTATGTCCCCTGCACTGGCAGATGGATTCTTAACCACTGGACCACCAGGAAAGTCCCTCCAGCAGTATTTTATTAACTAAACTTATGCTTACTTTATGACTCAGAAACTTCACTCCTAGCTATTTACCTAAGATAAATGCATGTAATCAAATAAGTGTGGCCTCTTTATCACCAAAAACAAAATAAATGAATGTAATAGGATATAATGGAATGCATAGAACCCCTTTACTCATAATATTCAAAAATAAAAAGTAGCTCAGATGTCCATCAGTAGAACAGATTGTGGTATAAACATATATCCATACAATGGAATACTACTCAGCAATAAAAAGAAAGAGCCATTGATATTTGTCACAACTTGAATGAATCTTAAAAACACTATGTTGAATGAAAGAAGTCCTACAAAAAAGAATACATACTCTATCATTCCATTTATATGAAATTCTAGAAAAAGAAAAACTAATCAATATCAAAAAAATCAGAATAGCAGTTGCCTCAAGGACGAGTGGAGTTGAAGTTTAACTAAGAGGGAACACAAGGAAACTTTTTTTGGGTGGCATTAAAGTTTTCTGTGTTGATAGGGACTTGGGTTATATTGGGTTGTATAGTCACCAAGTCATATCCTGCTTTTGCGATCCCATGGACTATAGCCTGCCAGGCTCCTCTGACCATGAGATTGTCCAGGCAAGCATATTGGAGTGATTGGCCATTTTTTTCTCCTGGGAATTTTCCTGACCCAGGGATCTAACCCAAGTCCCCTGCACTGCAGGCAGATTCTTTACCAACTAAGCTATCAGGGAAGCCCCTTAAGTTATATCGGTGTACACTTTCAAAGCTCATCAAACTGTGAACTTAATACTTGTGCATTTAACTCTATGTGCATCTTACCTCAAGAACAAAAGAAGAAATCATAAATGAATATTGAACTCTGGTTCATAATGATGGACATGCTGCAGTGCTTAGGGATGAAGTACACTGATGTCTTCATGCTAGGTTGAAATGCATCAAGTAGTAAGAATGATGGATAGAGGGAGGGAGAGGGTACGGGTGGATAAATATGTGTTAAAGATAATATATTAAAATATTACTTGTGTGATATAAGGGATGTGTATATGGAGGTTCATTTTACAGTTCTTTCAATGATGCTTTATGTTTAGTTTTTTCCATTAGAGCATGTTGAGGAAAAAACATTTTAAAATATACAAAAAGACTTTCCCTGTGTTCCTGTGGCTGACATTTCAGCAGTGAAAAAAATAATTAAACAAGCTAAACACCCAGGCAAATATATAATTGCATATTTTGATGTTATGAGGAACATAGGGTACTGTGTGAGAAATATATTGAAAAAAAAATTGTTAAATGGAAGATCAAGGGAAGCTTCTTTAGGAAAGTGGGGTTTAGAAAAGTGTGACATGACAATGAGAAAGGAACAATGATGAAAATTATGGGCATCCAGGTGAGAAGGAGGAGCATACCACAGAGGACAGCAGAAGTGAAGACCCCAAGATAGGAAAGACTTTAGCACAAGCATAAGACTTAGAAGAATATGAACATGACTGGAGTGTGGCCCACCAAGGAAAGAACCAGTGAGAGGTGAGGGTGGAAAGGTAGGCAGAGACCAGACCATTCACAAGTTTACAGACCCTGATGAGCTGGGAATCATTTCTGGGGTAGTCAGAGCACACCTGAGGTATTATGTTCAAAGCCCAAAGACAAAACAGCAACAGTAATGATCACTAATATGTATTAAGTGCATCTTAGATGCCAGGCATTGTCTAGAACCTTATACTTTAGCTCATTTAACTTCACCTCTCTCCAGGCTACATACTATTTTAAATAGATATATAAATATGCATGCCCTAGTTTTACTTAAGAAAACTGAAATTTGGGTGAGGTTAAATATTTTCCCAAATGTCCCACAGCTTATCCAAGGTGAAGATGGGATGTGAGTCTGAGATAAGGGGGCCTGGGAATTCTTAACTTGCCAGTGGAGAAGTCTCCCCAGAGTCACAGTGGTCTTCTTCCAATCTATAAAGCTACCACGGGTAAGAGAGCTTGTAGTTGTACCTTGTAATGACAAGAATCTGAATTAGTATCAGTGAGATAATATTCTGAAAAAGCAAATTTGAATCCAATGCTAGGGAAAAAAAATTGTAATGAACAAATTTTCCCGGAGATGGAAAAAGCCACGATAGGATCTATAATTAAGGAGCGATTTCCTTCCCTTGGAGCCACTGAAGCCCAAGTGAGATGGCCTCAGGACAGTGGGCCTTAAACATCACAAATAGGCTGGACCTGAGGACTTCGAATTGCCTCCCAGCCCTGAAATGGTGGGATGACCCATCAGACTCTGTTTGTGGCTGCGGTTTCTCCAGCAGGTTGGCAGCAGCTGTCTACTGAGAGCTGTATTAATAACATCTTCATTGACACTGCATGCACAAACAACATTTTCCATTTAAGCCACATTCATTGGTGGCCTCAGGAGAATCGCCAGGGAGACTGGAGTGCAGGCTAAATAGAGAAAGTCTGAACTGGCAGTGCAAGCACAGTTACCATTCGAGTGGGAAAGCTGTCTGACGTTTGCTGGTTTATGATGCTGCTCTATGGGGGCTAAAGACAGGTAACCAGGAAGCGTCCAGTGCCTATGGACAGATCTCTATGGACTCAGATTTCTCAGGGTTTGGGAATACAGGGTATGTAGTTGTTTAGTAACTAAGTCATGTCCAACTCTTTGCGACTCCATGGACTGTAGTCTGCCAGGCTCCCATGTCCATGGGATTTCCCAGGCAAGAATAGCTCAGTGGGCTGCCATTTCCTTCTCCAGGGGATCTTCCCAATGCAGGGGTAGAACCTGAGTATTCTGTATTGGCAAACAGAATCTTTACCACCGAGCTACCTGAGAAGCCCAGGGTATATAGTTACCTAAGTGGAAAAAAGTAGTTAAGGAGGCCAGCCAGGGTTGTCGCCACCATTGTGTGTTATAGGTGTCTATATGTTCTATTTATCATTTGCCAACATCCTAACTCAGAAGTGGATGAGAAATGAAATGGTTTGAGGGTGTGCTGCTATGTGCCAGGCTCTGTGTTAGGGCACTCCGTCAGAGCATCTCATTGAATCTTCACAATGACTCTGTCAATCCGCTTCTATCAGTACCCCAGTTTAAGGGGAAGACAGAGCTATTGAGTAACATTTTTGCACAATGGCAAAAACAGGAAACTGATATTCTAACCTACTCAAGTCAGACTCCACTGCTTCAGCCTAAGCATACATTCGTGAATGAATGACCATCTGCCTGAAAAATCACAAAGCCAAGGGACTTCCCTGTGGTCCGGTAGCTAGGACTCTGAGATCCCAGTATGGGGGACCTGGGTTTGATCCTTGGTCAGGGAACTAGATCCCTCTCGTGCTGCTGCTAGAGATCCCACAAACCAAAATGAAGATCCTACATGCCACAACTGAGTCCCAGCACAGCCAATTTTTTTTTTTTTTTTGGAGAATGTATGCTGTAGACCATGTGCTCTCATGCATGGACACAGACTTCTTCATTTCTTGCAACTGAATGAGTATAAAATGGTATTTTAGGATAATCTTTTTTTTTTTAACTGAGGGATAATTGCTTTACAGAGTTTTGTGGTTTTTTGTCATACATCAACAAGAATCAGCTATAGGTACACCCATGTCCCCTCCCTCTCAAACCTCTCTCCCATCTCCCTTCCCATCGCACCCTTCTAGATTGTCACAGAGCCCCTGTTTATGTCCCTGAGGCATACAGCAAATTACAATTGGCTATCTACTTTACATGGTAACGTAAATTTCCATGTTACTCTCTCCATACATCTCACCCGCTCCCTCTTCCCTCCCCAGTGTCCATAGATCTGTTCTCTACATCTGTTACTCCATTGCTGCCCTGCAAATAAATTCATCAGTGCCATATTTTAAGATTCTTCCATGAATGTGTGTCAGTATGTGATATTTTTATTTCTCTTTCTGACTTACTTCACTGTGTATAATAGGCTCTAGGTTCATTTACTTCATTAGAACTGAC